CTAGTATACACGAAACATTCAGTAATTAGAACTCAACTGCACCTATTCATTAACGTTAAATACATTTTATGATGTAGTATCATTGAGTTAAAAAAAACAAAACAATCAAGTTTATTCAATTAGGCCCTGCTTCAACAAAGCAAGTACGCAAGTGATTAAGCACTTCACTCAATAGGGTTAGATTTAAGCACATGCCTACACAGGAACAGCTCCACTGAATCAGACCGGTGGATCTATCTTGTCTCTGGCCAGCATCAGCTGCTTCAGAGAAGCAGCAAGAACTCCACAGCAGGCATATGTGGAATAATTTGTGCCCCCAAGAAAGTCTCATCCTAATTACAGACTAGTTTAAACCCTGCAGCATGAGATTTTTATCCCCACCAAAATTCTTTTTTAGCATTAACTATGATAACTCTCTGGATAATCTTGTTACCATAAAAGCATCCAATCCCTCTCTGAGCCTTACTAAATTCTTTCCCTCAACAACTTCCTGTGGCAATAAGTTTCACAATCTAATTAAGGCTTGAGTGAAAAAGCTTTGCTTATCAGTTTTGAATCGGCCACACTGAACGTCCCCTTGTTCTTATATTGTGAGACAGCTCCCGATCTCCTGTCTCTCTACCATTCATTATCTTATATACTTTTATCATAGCTCTGCTTAGTTGTCTCCTTTCTAAAGTAAACAATCCCAATCTTTTCAATCTCTATGAAGATAGGTTTCCATGTGCCTAATCATTCTTGTTGTCCTTCTTTGAAGCTAGCTAGCTCTGCAACGTTCTTTCTGAGGGCTTGTCCACGTGGGAACATGTGAGAGCGCACTATGGAATTTTTATTGCACACTAGAAGAGTCCAGATGGCCAGTGAGTACACTGCAAGCTAGTGGTCTGCGGATACCCTGGCTTGCCATGCACTAACTTGCCATGTAGACAAACCCTGAGATAGCGTGACCAGTACTGCATACAGTATTCTAGATGAGGGTGTATATTTTTCCATCTCCATTCTGTGCCATAAGTGCTTTGCTGAATTGGACCCTTAATTGTTTACAGAAATAATCAATCTACAGTGAAGCCCCTGAGTTACCAGTACAAATTTGCAAAGTTCTGCTGCATAGTCTGCTGCATAGTGCTGCAGCCACACGCCTTGGATGTTTATAACTAATGTCTAAACTGAAAGCAAAGAGTAGGGGTATTTGTTTTTACACTGCAAATGGTTGAATGTCGGAGATGTATAAACAAACACATGAACATTTAGCTCTAGGCAAATAATTGTTAGCCAAAACGTTCTGTACGAACAAGAGTCCATCAAACTAACCCCGACCTTTAATTTTCCTTTTCTTTACAAATTTAATACATGCCATATTGACGGTGGCTTTTGAAAACAATCAAATCAAATCAAATATTTGCATCAAAAACTACAAGAAAAAAAATAAAGCAAACAGCTTTCCAATTAGATTGGATAATCTACAGGCTGTTTAGATGGACAAAGAGTGTTTGAAAAGACAAATAGTCCAGAGAACTTATGACAAACATCCAGATATCCACAAAAAACTTCTCCACACACAGTATTTATAACTAAATTCCGCAGAGTTATTATATAGTATATGTTTGGGGGTGCGGTTGTGAGTCAGCAAGAGAGAGAACGAATACCATTCGGAATAAGCCAGAAGCTCCTAATGTCTCTGAGACCAAGACTATTAGAAGCAAGAGAGGAGTCTTCATTTATTGAATTTCCTAAAATCATCTTCAGGTTCCAGTTTTTGGGGATGGAATAATTTTGAAATCGACAAACCTCAACTTCATCATAACCAAGCCATAACCAAAGACACATTTTAATAATGCTAATATTTATCTACTGTTCCATCCCTGGGCGTTGTGACTTCTGAACAGTTACACAGAACCTGTGCTAACATTTGTTCTCCTGCTGTGGTTCCCCACCCAACAAAGAGGGAGAGGCCCTGCAAGTCAAATACTGCTTCCTGGCAATGTACGCAGCTCTTATTTCCACGTTCAAAAAATGCTTCACAAGCCCAGTGACAACAGTGAAGGGAAGAAAATAAAAGACTTAGGGCAAAATTGACAAGTCTGATATATTTTCTACGTAAAGAGACAAGATCATGTTAAAACCCATCATTTTAAAAGGCCTATTTCTATATTTATATTGCAAATATTTTAACTTAGGGAGTTTTCAATCTTTTTCATACTGTGGACTCCATCTTTACAGAGAGAGATTGTCTCACAGACCCACCACCGTCATGCAACATCCTCATGACAATTAGAGCAATTACATAGATGAAAAATTAGTACTAGGAAAACAATACATTTTTAGCTTCCTTCAATGCAGTGTAATATATAGGAACAATGAGAAGGGGAATGGGGACAGAAGAGGACTATATCACCAGCCAGCTCTCTGCTGACCACCAGGAAGTTCTCCATGGACTTCAGTTTGGTAACTGATTAAGATAGAAATAAGTTTAAAAAATCTACTTTGCTATTTACCACTGGTGCTCTTTCCTTTATACGTTTTCTCAGCTTGGACAATTAAATTAGAAAAGCTAAATAAGCAGTATTATTATTGTTATTAGCAGTATTGCCAACTCTTGCCATAGTATTTTTTTGATAGTCCCAGCTTCTGGAATCATGAGAATCTCAATTTTCATAAAAATCTTCTAGCCCTTGGGGTTGCAGAAAAAAAAGCTACAAAACAAGAACCCTAAAGACTTAACAACCTGAAGGCAAGTAATAAAAATCCAAAAGTTTTTTTTTCCTAAATAACTCTCACTTTTTAAGACAATGTAATGATTTTTGGGGGGCCTGACTTATGATTTTTGAATGCTTCTGGTTGGCAATACTCTATTAGGCTCTGATTTTGCAAACAAGCACATGCTTAATTTTACTTTTCCAATTTACTATGAAATCAATGGGACCTACTCATGGTAGTAAAGTTAAGCACATGCATAAAAGTGTACCAGATTTGGTTTGGCTTTAGCTGTTTGTCAAAGTTACAATCAAGCTAGAATGAAAGAGGAGGTGGAATCAAGATATTCATCAGATCAAAGTGAGTTTTAAAAGATCTGATGTTTCATAACCTACCAGGTCTCTAACTGATTGAAGTCTACCAATCTGAGATTTCAGCTCTTTCTTGTGGTTTGTGACGTTCAGTTCCAGCTCTGATGGGATACGAGATAAAGACCTTAGAGGAGTCAAAGGGTGTTCACACTGGTAGTGCCTTTTTGTCATTTGTCAGGACTTAGTAAGGCCCGGTCTACACTACAAAGTTAGGTCAACATAAGCTGTCTTTTGTCAACCTCGCTGTGCATGTATCTACACTTAAATCTGTCTCCCACCGACGTGAGCTCTCCATTCCACTGACACAGTAACACCACCTCCCCAAGCGGCACTGAGCCATGGTCGATGTACTGCAGTCAACACAGTGTGAATGTAGTCACTGCGTTACCTATGTTGACAGTAACAGTCCTCCAGCT